ATCAGCTTTTTTAAGTAACATTTTAGATATTGTCAAAAATAAAGATAGCTTACTCTTTAGGCAAAATTTATATTTTTTGGCAAACCTCACTTGAACATTTTTTTTTTCGGTTTTAGACCATGCAGAACGTGTTATGAAAAATACGCTTTGTCACTGCATAATAAGATAAAATATATGTTTTGCTTTAAGACAACCCATTGCTATTATTAGTATTGTATATATAGTATTAGATGTATAATGTCATGTGCATGAAATCTTCCAAATGTTGTACAATAATCCGCATTTTACATAATTTAAATGAAATTGTTTACATAATGCAATGCAATTCTCATTAATATAATCGGATATTTCGAAGCTGCGCTTATTAGTGTGAATTGAAGAATTTCATTTTGCTGGGCGACGCAAATTGGCACCGGATTTGAAAAAGCCATAATAATCCTCCTAACAATAGATTATTTTAATGAAATTTTAAACCGCACATGCTTTTCCTGTATTATAAAGCTGTTTCGAGAMGAATTTACGTGGAAGCGAATAAGCCGATAAGGYCATTTGAGAGCTACAGCCATAGATCCAATTAGCATTTTATTATCTAGTCTACCTAATTAAAAGAYCTTTTGGTACRAAATACTGCTTTTTATATTCCCCTTTTAAGCAAAAATATTGAAACGGACACAAAACGCTAATTAGTTCCATTTTGCTGTTATTAAACAGTTGAGGATGTCTGAGTTTAAATTAATTAACCAAATCAAGTGGAAAATGAAAAACCTTGTATTATTAAAGCRCTTTGCTAATTAAAAGCCATTTAACAGCAAMTTTAATAAAATAAATATTAACGCACTTGGGGCTTAAACCATCGGAAATTATATTCCAAAAAACATTACAAGAGATAATTTCTGATTTTGCAGCCTAAAAATTCAGAAGAGTTGAGTTTGACATATAAACGGTGGGTCTTAATGAAGTTCATTAAATCATTATTTTTTATGATTGTTTCAATTAAAACAATTTTTGTTATTTTGGCACAATATGACATAAAGCTGATTGAGTTTTAGTGAGGAAATTAATAATAATTTGTCGGTCTCTTAACTGCTTTTGCCTCTTGTTGCATTTGTAACAATATAAAACAAGCTACTCAAACATCTKACTTTCTTCACGTGCAAATCAAATTTATAGAACACAGTGTTCGTCTATAAGACTATTTGGTACTAATAGAACACCTACACATCTGTATCTGTTTCGGTTGTATCCGATGAAGTGAATTTTAGGCTTCTATGATTCAAATGTGTGGTCATTCTGTATTGAATATTCCCCGAAATTTCGACCTGTAGTAAATTAAATCATATTAACCATATTAAAATTAAAAATCCCGACTGTCCAACATAATCAAAATTTTCTTGAGCAAAACATTCAAAAAACCTGTCGTAAACTATTTGTTTACTATATAAGAGAGCAATACAAAATCGCTCAGTTACTAGGTCATTATGGGGAATATATTTACATCGTGATTTGTTTACAGTATGGCAGAGCTCCAATTCACTGGGCCTCAGCAAGGGGAAACATAGACATTATGGACATGCTATTAAACGCTCATTGTGACATTGAGGCCCGAGATAAAGTAAGTTTAATATACACATTCCTCAAGCATTGATTTGCTGTCTAAGTGAAAATATTCACCCATGAATATAATTGTTTCATTCAAAAGACACCTTTTTTAAATCTAAATTGTACATTTTACAAAGCGCTCTTCAAACATTTAATTGAATTGCGTGCGGAAGCGAGAGCTTTCCGGTATGCGAGATCTATTTTCAAAAGAAGATTGACACTAATTTATATAATTAGCTCCTTTGTTCCCTTTTCAACCTTCATTTACTGGAACCCGAGAAGTTGTCCATAGAAACGATTGCTTCGTGACGAAATCCAATTAAAAATGCTAATCAAAGTAATAAAAAGTGTTTTTCGTGTTCTTTAAATGAGTGTGTAATGAAATGTTTGAACTTCCAGCTGTAAGCAATTGCTAGCATTATAAAGCCATTTATGATATTGGGAAATATCATTAGGGAACCATTTATGTGTATTAGTCTATTGAAGCTATTGGAGCAAAATAAAAGCATAAACGAATGATTAAAACTAATATTGCCTAATATTATAAACCCCGAATATTCGTCGTCAAATAATCAATTCAAAACTATCGACGCGGATATCACTGAAACGAATTTGTTAAATAGTTTTAGTCATTTTCCTAACCAGCTTGAGTGTTTTCAGTATGGAATGCAACCTTTACACATGGCAGCTTGGCATGGTCATCCTAGAGCTGTTCAGTTACTAATTAATTTAGGAGCTTGCACTAACGCTGTAACGAAGGTATGCTCAAATATCTTCATTTTATTTTTAAAAAAACCTTCAAATAATAAAATATAAGCAGATGACTACACAATAGGTATATTTTGAAAACTTTTAGTCTACTCAAGCTCGTCGAAATGTAGGTACTTTTAAAGTTCTGCTATTCACAATGCAATCAAAGTTTAGCAGTATACTGTCTAACTAAGACTAAACCACCAACAGTGAAACTACAGAGTCAAACGTATCCAGCTTTCGGGTCAAAGGCTTTAATTATTGTTCCAGCTTTGAAGTTAACTAATCTAGGTTTGGCTGATTCTAAGGTTCAAAATTTGATTTTCATTTACCAGTTGTTTGAAAAGTTTGAAGTTTAATTTCATAAACCAAATCAATCCTAACAAGGAAGTTTCCACAAAATCTTAGTATTGTTTGAATTGAACTGAATTTTAAAGTTCTTTAGGAACCTGAGCGTACCCTAACAAGAATTTACTAATCAGGCTCAATACACGCTACTAACATGTGCGGCCCGAAATAACAGGGCGGAAGTGATAGATTTCCTTCTGGATACTCTGGAAGACGTCCAGATCGATGCTGTGGACGGCGACGGCCAAACTGCGCTTTTCCATGCGGCCGCAAACGGACACGTTTCAATTGTAAAAAGACTTATTGAAATGGGTGCCAGCTTAGATAGGAAGAATAAGGTATACGACATTGTATCTAATAAAGTTAAGTTTACTTAAACACAGTTGACCGAAAAGCAGACGCAGATGAAGATAAACCAAACATTGTACATATCAATAATATATACAGGGTGTCCATTTCCTGAATATTTGCATGGGTAACTTCTACATTTTTAAAGATAAAAAAAGCCGTTAAATAGGCAAAATTGGGCAGAATTCGATTGCCTATTCATTACGGTTTTCAAAATTTAGGTACCCAACTTGGTTTCCGAAATATCCTGAAAA